TTTTGGTTTCAATCTTGGGTGAGGTGTTCCTCAACCTTGCCAATTTAGAGAGGGGTGGCTTTCAACTTGGGGAGTTAAGTCCATTCGGTCTAAAAGTGGCCAAGTTGAAAAACACTGCATAGGAGGCATAACGTTTCTAGGTTAGCAGGTGTCAACTCTGCTGAGCCTGGCATTCCAAAGAGCGAGGCTGGATCTTGGTCGACAAGCTTCTGTTCTGGGGACCGCTTTGTGCTGCGAAGATCCTTGCTTTTTCTTGCTCTTTTTTTCCCGTGCCGAGGGGCGTTCAGCCTTTCAGGGTGGGGAGGGAGTTTGGCTCCGCGGGTCAGAAACCACATCCTGGAACGAGGTTCTCTGTTGCTGTGAAAAGCAGCTTCCTTGGGACACCCCGGCTCATTCCACGCTCCATCCGTTCATCCATCCGTCCCCCTTCCCCTCCTTTACCAGCCTCTCTTCTTTCTGCGCGGTGTGCTTTGGAAGCCCGTTCAGGGAGGGCCTCTTGCCTAGGGCTGTTCAGCCACGCCAGCAAAGTCCTCTCTGCTCTCTTTGGGCTTCTTCAGGTGAGAAGAACCACGCAAATAACCCAGTTTCCCTGCACGGTTTTCCCCTTCTCTTTCTCACCCCGTGAGGTGAAGTCCCCACCCACTCACCCCTCTTAAGTTTTAGCTTAGCTCCCCCGTTTTATTTCTAGGTCTGATGACGAACAGAGCTCAGCGGATAAGGAAAGATTGGCCAGGTAGGAGAACAGAGAAGTTTGGCTTTTGTTTCTCCACGCATGGCAGAGCACAGTTTGTTCACTCCCCCTTCTTCTGCTTCCCACCCCCCTCCTCCAAATCATCCCTCCGCCTTCCCCGTTTTCTTTCTTAATCGAGGGCTTGAAAGTAGACAGAGATTTTTGGAAATCAGCATCTCGGTTGTAGGTTGGGCCGGTGGCATGGCAGCTGTTGCTGAAACGTGTTGGCATTACGTGGACTTATTAAAGCCACTGCCTCTCCCTTTAAGAGCTAAGCGGGCGAGGGAAGTCCTGCCTCTGTCAATGACGATGCCATAATTGCTGCAAAATTGCTTTTAAAATACTGGCGGGCACCTTTTGGGTACTGTTTCTAAGACCGGGCTGGGCTGAATGTGCCCCCTCTGGAATTGGCATTCACAGATCCAGGGCTTCTTCAGCCGAGGCAGAACAACAGCAGCTTTATTCATTACCCGCTGGTAACTCAGTGCAGGCCGGACATAGAATAAGGCGAGAAGTGAAACAATAACGTATGAGTTATTATAGCATCGTGCTATGAAATAAGAGCCTCTCAATTAAAAGGCGTGTAGAAGAAGAAGCAAGAAGCGTTTTTAGCATTTCTCTAAACCTCTTCCACGCTTGTAAAAAAATTTTTTTAAAGGCTTGGTTTTAGCTTCAGTGGCCTGCCGAGGGCAGATACGTAAAGCACCCCTGGGCTCCCGTGTTCTCCTCCCCAGCACCATCTCTCCCCGCTTTTGGCCTCCGCAATCTCCCAGACAGCCAAGCTCCTTGTCCAGGGAGACAGAGATTTCCACAAATAAACGTTAGCCCTCCAGCGACTAGCGATCGAAACTCGGTTTTTTTCTTAAAAAACAGCCAAACAACTTTCTCTTCCTTCCCTGTCTCCTCCACCCAGATCCATCTTCCATTCCATGCTTCCCGGTGCTGGTTTTCTCAACTAATTTCTTTCCTCTCTTGCTGGAAAACTTGTGCAACGTTTTGGGTGGGTGGCGATTCTGCCGCCGGCACTCTGAGACCTGCTGCAAAGGTTTGCCGTGGAAAACGAGGGTCTCGCTCTGAGGGAGATCCAGAGTCTTGCTTCTGTAGAAGCGCGTCTCTGCGCCAAGAAATTAAAGCTGGTTTGGGGTTTCTTTCTCACCTCCCCCCAAACGTAGCTATCATTCTTTTGGCCCCAAGGCAGTGTGCTCTCTTGCTGGAAGGCTCCTATCCCTTCACTTCCGTTTTCTAGAATTCATTAGCGAGGAACTAGGCCCTGGTAGGCTCTGATATGCAGCATGGATATGAGGAAGAGCAGGCGGTCCCCTCCACCGTTAACGTCCCCCCGCCCAGAGTATCTGGAGACAGGCTGCCTCTGTTTATGGAGGGTCCACTCACAGACCCTGCCGGGCCTTGACTGCTGCCTCCACAACCTTTCTGTGAGCTTCGCAAAGGCGATGGCTCTCGATCACTCCGGTGCCTTGGAGGCTCTTCTGCTTTTTCTCCATTGCATGCCTGGCACGTGTCTTTTTTTCCAAGCCCTAACAACTTCTGGCCCCCTCTCCGTCCTCCTTCCTCCCCGCCCATTGTCTCTCCCTCTTCTGGCAAGTCAGGCCCCCTCCTGGCAATTTCTTGAAACCCGCCTCCCTTTCTCTGCTCCGCTCTCCATCTCCAGGGAGAACCACAGCGAGATCGAGCGCCGGCGCCGGAACAAGATGACCGCTTACATCACGGAGCTCTCCGACATGGTGCCCACCTGCAGCGCCCTGGCCCGCAAGCCGGACAAGCTCACCATCCTGCGCATGGCCGTCTCCCACATGAAGTCTCTCCGGGGCACCGGGAACACCTCCACGGACGGCACCTACAAGCCTTCCTTCCTCACCGACCAGGTCTGCATCCTCTGCGTTTCAGTGCTGTTGGGGACAGTGACAAGGAATGGCTCTGGGCAGAAGTGGCTTTTTAGTCTGCTGTGTTAGGAGCAGGATGGCGAAGAAGCCTCTCTCAGTCAGTCAGTAACTCCAGCTGAATTTGCCCACCTTTGCCCAGCTCCACAGCTCTGTTTTTAACTGGCAGCTCCCGTCCAGGGTGTGCCCAGCAGGCAAAAGAGTTGGCAGCAGAAGAGGGGGCTCCTTTGTCACTGGATGCCACAGCGTCCCTGCTCTCCGCTTCAATCTGCCTCTTTCCACAGGAGCTCAAACACTTGATCTTGGAGGCAGCAGACGGGTTCCTCTTCATCGTCTCCTGCGAGACGGGCCGGGTGGTCTACATCTCCGACTCGGTGACGCCCGTCCTGAACCAGCCCCAGTCGGAGTGGTTCGGAAGCACCCTCTACGATCAGGTGCACCCCGACGACGTGGAGAAGCTGCGGGAACAGTTGTCCACCTCAGAGAACGCGCTGACCGGTATGTTTCCCCACGCCCAGAGCTAGCTGCTTGCCTTCTCGGCCCCCGAAAGGCAGGGGCCGCCAGGAGTGACCCCGTCCTCACCTTTCGGCTTGGACTCCTCAGGCCGGGTCCTCGATCTGAAGACAGGAACGGTCAAGAAGGAGGGACAGCAGTCCATGAGGATGTGCATGGGGTCCCGCAGGTCTTTCATCTGTCGGATGAGGTACGCTCGAGGCGTGTGTCGGGGCAGAAGCGGAAGGGACGCATTTTTTTCAGTTTGGCTAAAGAGTGTGGTGTGATTCACTTAAGCCGTGGTTTCTTTTGACTGTGGTGTCTTGCCTGGCCACAGCAGGCCGGGGCTGTGCTGCTTTCGGGCCAGATACAGGAGCTGTTTGGTCAGTGGAGCAGGTGGGACAAGGAGAAGGCCTGCGCAACTCGTGCTCGCTGTGGCAGCTTTTCAAGCAGGGGGGGCCTGTCAGCAGTGGCCCGTTTAGCAGATCAGCACAGGGAAGCGTCTGCAGGCGACGTCCCGGGAGAGGCTGTCCTGGCAGAAAGCTGAAATTGGGTTTTTTATCCCGGTCCCTTGTTCCGCAGATGCGGGAATGCAGCAGTTGATCCCGTCTCCATGAACCGCCTCAGCTTCATGCGGAATAGGTGCAGGTAACTGATGGGAGGGAGGAAAATTATGGGGGAGCCAGAACAGGATTAAAATGTCTGTCTGCCTGCCTGCCTGGCTGGCTATCTGTCATTATCTATGTATCTATCGGAATGCAAAAACAATGGGGGAAAAGAGCAGACAGGGTCCATTTTCTTTTAAAGCGTTGCTTGCAAAGGGAGGTGGGTTTTCGGGGCGTTTGCTCATTCTTTCAAATCAAAGGTTGCCCTGGGATTTACTTAGGGGAAACCAGAGAGGGACAGCCTGGTGGTCAAGCTTCGGAAGAAGGATTTGGATCACGTTGCTGCGCACGCTGCGGCTTGCCCTTGCCCGCCTCCCTTTGGCTGGAGGGACTTCAGGTGCCCTCCGGTTCAGTGGGCAGGCTGGACCAAGATGAGGAGGGTTGCGGTCTGTGTGCCTGGAGAGCTCACTAGTTAACCAGGCCATTGGCTGGAAGTTAAGAAGTTAGGAAGCTGCCGTAGCCTCTGGGGGTCCGGCAGCAAGGTCTTCTTCCTCTCTGAGAGAAGGGGGGCCAAGGGGAGATTCCAGGGTCCAGGTTTTAAGGTGCCTTCTCTCCTTGACGAGATGGCTGTGTACGCGCCGATTCGCATTGCTGCTTTCTCTGCCGCAGAACTGGTTTGTTCTTGGTTTTTTTGTAACTTTTGCCCCGTAGGGCCTTACCAAATCTCTCTCCTTCTTCTTCTCCTCCTAGAAATGGGTTGGGTGCTGTCAAGGAGGGTGAGCCCCATTTTGTGGTCGTCCACTGCACAGGCTACATCAAAGCTTGGCCACCAGCAGGTAACCCACACAGTCTCTCTCTCCCCCCCTGGACCATCCTGGCGTGGTTCACCAGAGCTTCAGCCACTTGGCTTCCTCCCCCCGATTTCTGACCTTCTGCAGTAATTAAAAAACCCAGAAAGCGGGGGGGAGGGGACAACAGTGGCCTCTGGAAGCCAGTTGGTTTGAGGGGGTCCTGAATTCCCATTCTCCTTCCCAGGAGTTTCACTGCCTGATGATGACCCGGATGCTGGACAGGGAAGCAAATTTTGCCTGGTCGCCATCGGCAGGTTGCAGGTAGGCAGGCCGCCTTCTCCTCGGGGGAGAACTGGTGTGCAGCTGTGCCAGGCTCACCCCCTGAGCTCTCCAAAGCCCCTGGGGTAACTGGCCGCAGGGAGGATAGAGAGCCCCTGGCCCTCACTTGGGTTGTCTCCCCTCCCACCAGGTCACGAGCTCACCCAGCTGTGCAGACACAAGCACGGTATGCCAGCCAACCGAGTTCATCTCCCGGCACAACACGGAAGGACTCTTCACCTTCGTGGACCACCGCTGCATGGCCACAGTTGGCTACAAGCCCCAGGTAGGACCCCAGAACTGGGGAGGTGCTTTGCAAAGATGGGGGATTCTGGGTTGCATGGGAATTGAGGAACCCCAGGTTTGCGAGGAAGAGGCATCAGAGGGTGGTGGGAGCAACCACAGAAACGCACAAGAGATGGGGTGACAGTGGAATTCAGTTGAATTCCATCTGAGTACTGGAAAAACGCTTCAGTCGCTCGAACGAAACATGTCCTCGTTAAGTGCTGTTTTAGAAAAGGCTTCCCTTTGCAAGGTGGGGGGGGGTAGAACAATGCAAGAGCAGGCTGGTAAGCATTTTAGCCTCCGCTTTCTCAGTGTTTTGACCACTGCTGCAACCAGAATGCTCTGAAACAGTGTTTTCCAAATTTGGCCACTCTAAGATGGGTGGATTTCAGCTCCCAGAATTCCCCAGCCAGCATGGAGAGGGAAGGAAGGACGCATGCTTCTGTTCAGGTCGCCCCACCTGCCTGAATAAATCTGAGATGCAGCATTAAGGGGAGGGGGCAGGTGGCTACACAAGGCCTGACTTGGTCCATCCTTTCCTCAATAAGAGAGGAGCTTCTGAGAATCTAGGCTTCTCGCTTTGGGGAGGGGGCCATGAGCTTTTAAGCGGTATTTCTCTACCCCCAAAGCAAACTCAGAAAAAATAACGCCACGCGGGGACCCCTCCGTGCTCCTGCGGCTGCTGTTTAGCCTGGGGGGTGGGAAGCAGGTGGGCCTGGTTCCCATCAGGTGCCTCTCTTCTGCACTAGGAACTCCTGGGGAAGGACATTGTCGACTTCTGCCACCCGGAAGATCAGCAGCTTTTGAGAGACAGCTTCCAGCAGGTAACGCACCGCACGGCCACTCGATGTGCCCCACCTGGATGCTGGAGTCGGGGTGCCGAACGCATGCCTTTGAAGCGAGCTGCCCCAACCCATCTGCTTTCCACGGCCCGGGGCCCTGCATCTTCCAGGCTTAGGGCAGAGGGCTTGGGGACAGAGCAGGCGGCTTGCGAAAGGTCCATAACGCTGCATTCCACCCCATAACCATCCTCACCCTCCAGGCAGCCTGTTGAAAACGGACCTAGAAGTCCCTCCAGGAGGTGGGTCTCTGTGCCGTGCGAGTCCGAGAGACTGAATGGTCTCTTCGGGCCCGACCATAGAAGTCAGGGACAAGGTGGCAGGGCGCGTCCTTCCCCCACAGTTGGGCGCCAGCGGAAGGGCGCGTCGGCCCTTCTGAGCATGGGGGCCCCCTCGGGCTCTGCGGGTCAGCCCTTCGCCCGCGGCGGCCTTGAATGGGGTCCAAACCATTTTTCCAGGTGGTGAAATTAAAAGGCCAGGTGCTCTCTGTCATGTTCCGTTTCCGGTCCAAGAACCGGGAATGGCTCTGGATGCGGACTAGCTCCTTCACCTTCCAGAACCCATACTCGGACGAGATCGAGTACATCATCTGCACCAACACCAACGTGAAGTACGTACTCGGGACGCTTCCCCCGCCCCTGGCACGGACTGCCCTGCCCTGCCCTGCCCGCCCTCAGTAAGGGTGACGGGGCTGCAGCTCAACACGGGCTATGCAATCTTCCGTTTCCCCCCAGCTCCCTTTTTTCAGGAAAATGGCCAAAAACGTGGCGTCAGATCCCACTTCAAGAAGGGGACCTCGGCTGCCCGCTAGCTCTGCTGAGCCTCGGCCTCGCTCATTTGCGATTGGCCGGCCTGCAGTGATCTCACGGAGGGCGGGCAGGTACCTTCTCCTGGCAAGTGAGGTCAGCCAGCAGAACACGCCCCGCAGTGTCGCGTCATTTCACAGCTTGAGTAACGCTTAGCTGGAGCGATGTGGGGCTCTTGAGAGTTACCCCCTTCCTGTTGGTTATCCTGTGGGGGGGGGAGCAAGGTGAAAGTCTTTGGGAGTCGGAGGCCAAGCGGGTGCTCCAGAATTAGATGCCCTTCGCTGTCTCAGAAGAAGCCAAGCCATCTCCATCCCCATCTCCATGTTTCAGCTTCAGGAGCAGGGGGGGCAGGGGACGCCCCGTGCCCAAACCAGAGCGGGGAGGGCAGAGATGTTGGGCGGTTCCCAGACCCACCAAGGGTGGCCACGTCGTCCCCCGGGGTCCCCAAGGCTCTGGCCTTTCCTAATCGCACGAGGCTCTTCCTGAAAAGACAAAAACAGCTTCAAGAGCACGGAGGGGTTGTCTGGGAATTTCTGTCTCCTACTGCTGACAGCGTTGTCTGCTTCACAAAGCCCCGAAAACTGGCTTCAGACGAGGGGAGGATTTTAATCGCTGAGCGCAAAACCTTCCCCTGTGCTCGTCCCTGTCCCCGACTGGCCCGCCTGCCTGGCCCTGACGGCTCTCCTTCCCCTTCCTTCCAAATGACCCTCCAGGAATGCCAGCCAGGAGGCCCGCCCTGCAGGGCCGAGCCCAATGCAGAGGCCCCAGCTGGGCCCCAACGTCAGCCTGCCTTTGGAGATGGCCACGGGGCACCTGCCAGCCAGGTAAGAGCCCCCGGCCTGTTCCGAGGAGCCAGGCCCGCTTTGCTCAGTACCCGCACCTCGGGCTGGGACGGGCAAGGCCGTTTCCTGATTTGAGCCTCTGCCTTTTAGGCAACAGCCAGCGCAGCCGGCAGAGCTCGACGTGGTCCCTGGAAGAGAAAGTTTGGCCAGTTACGAACACCCGCAGGTAAGGTGGCCAAGGGCTCCTGGATGCTGGCGCAGGCAGGAAGCCTGGGCAGTTGATAAGTATTCACATTGCTGTCTGTGCAGGCTGCCCTTCAGGCCGTGAGCGCCCCTGGTCCAGAGCACAACAAGCCTGTGGAGAAGACCGAGTCCCTGTTTGGTCAGGAGCGGGACCCTCGCTTCAGCGAAATCTACAACAGCATCAGCCCAGGTTTGGGGGCAAAGGGGAAGGCCTGATTCTCAGGACCTCTGTTCAGTGCTGGGTTTCTCAACCTTGGCAGCTTTCAGACGGGTGGACTTCAACT